CTTTCGAGACACATCCGCCGTTAAACTTTTACACGACACTCCGGGTTCCGTTCGTGCATTGAATATTGTTCAATTATCCGGCGTGTCCTCGCTTTAATAACGTCTCCGTCGTAATTGAACACGCCCCGGTACAAATTTCCTAGATTTATCGCGTACGAACTGGGTGGGTGTTCCCGTGTCACAGCCATAATCCCTTGCTCCTCGCAGTTACGATTAAAACGCGCCGACTGTCCCCGTTGATCCGTTGATCTCGACACGGGAGTCCGTCAACTGCAGAACAAATATCCCCGATACCGATAATCTCAAAGATTTTTTTTAACCTCTACGTTGCAAAGATAATGTTGGACAATAATGGAATAATTTATTGCTGCCGGAAGATCCGCCCTCCTCGATAGCGATTCACTGTAAATGAAAAAAGTTTTTTTCTGATTAATTATACTGGTTGAAAAAACTGCAAATATAACTAGATAAAAAAACTAGTAATACGGTGTGATAAACAGAGAAATAAATGGAAAGAATTCGTAATGAACGAATTTCTTTTCGTCTATAGTGAATTACCATTGTTATTATTATTCATTTATTTATTTAAAATTGTAATGGGCGATTCTGGAGGCCAAAATAGGACGAAAGTCAAGAAAACCAATTTGTTAATGGAGGCTTTGTTAAAAAGTTATTGACATTTAAAGTTCCGCTCGTACTGAATTTTTTTCTCGAAAATGCGCAGGAATTCGGGGATATGTCTAATCACCAAAAATGATTGTAATTGACCCCCACAACTAAAAATAATTTTTTTAGAATCATTTGAAATTTTTTTTAACGTCGTAAAATTTCATACCTTCTCGAATTTTTTTCTCGAAACTCCGTAGGATTTTGGGGGTATGTCTATTCACCAAAAATGATTGCAATTGACCCCCGCAATGGAAAATAATTTTTTCAGAACGATTTGAATCTTTCCAATTTTGCCAAAAAATTTCACACCTTCTCGAATTTTTTTCACGAAAGTGGTTAGGATTTCGAGGGTATGTCTAATGATAAAAACTGATTATAATTGAGCTCCGCGAACAAAAATAATTTTTTTGGAGCGATTTGAATCTTTTCAATTTTGCCGAAAAACTTCACATCTTCTCGAATTTTTTTCTAGAAACTGGGTAGGATTTCGGGGGTATGTCTATTCACCAAAAATGATTGCAATTGACTCCCGCAACCGAAAATAATTTTTTCAGAACGGTTTGAATCTTTTCAATTTCGTCGCAAAATTTAGGCACCTACCCCCTGTCGATTTTTCTTAGAATTCGTTTTTCATTTTTAGTAATTTTATGTGACACCCTACAGAAAAGTTGTCTAATACTTTTTTGTAGCTACTCATGAGCTCTACTTTAGAAAAAAGTTTCAATGAAATACGTTCACTATTGTAGAAGTTATGGCAGTTTGGAAATTTGACTATTTATATGGGGTTTTTCTCATTTTGCGGTGTCAAGGAATAACTTTTAGAATATTTTTAGAATTTCTGCGTATTCTTCATCAAAATACGCGTTGTTTGCTTTTTGAAACATTGAAATCCCTCAATCCGTTCGGAAGTTATGGCATTTTAAAGATTCGCATGAAATTTCTAGGGGCTTCACATCAGATTTTCGGTCAGGAATTTTTTTCTCGAAAGTGCGAAGGATTTCGGGGGTATGTGTAATGACCAAAAATGTTTATAATCGACCTCTGAAGCCGAAAATATTTTTTTTAGGACGATTTGAAAAATTTTTTTATCGTCGAAAAATTTCACACCTACTCAAATTTTTTTCTCGAAAATGGGTAGGATTTCGAGGTTATGTCTATTCACTAAAATTGATTGTAATTGGCCCCTACAACTAAAAATAATTTTTTTAGAACGATTTGAAACTTTTTAATTGAAATTTTTAATAATTTTTTAACGAACCTTCAATCTCCCATTAAAATTTTTCCCAGGGGTAATCAAACACCCTGTATAAACAAATTATAATTTATTAAATTAAGCTTACGTTAAATTAAAATAGTATACTTATGTAGAATTTAAAAAAATATTTATTGTTAATAAGTTTTCGGAAAACTTCCATTTTTATACTGGTTCAACACGGCGTTTTCTAGGAACCTATCTATCGTGTTATAGGAGGGTTACCTGTACCTTAGAAGTATTATTAATATATATTATAAATAGAAGAGGTCCCAAATGTGAACCTACTATAGCGTACGAATACACGAGAGTACCGTACATGTGACATTTGTAACGAACGTGACGTTTCCTACTGCATCCAAAAGCTATCGTCCCTTTCGACGATAAATAAAAAAATCATTCCTATCGGGTAGAATAATAGATCGGGTCTGGATCACGGGGCCATAATTTGTCGGATCTCTCGCGTATACCGTAAATCGACGGTCCGACGTCCGGCCGTTTCGCCAGAAACACGAATAAAACGTCGCAGGAAATATCGTTAGAACGAAATTCTCCCGTCGACGGCGCTCCGATGGTCGCGCGCGATCGTTTCGTAGATGGCTGGTCTGCTGCGCTAGGCTGTGTTTACGCGACGACGGTAGTAAAAGCGGCCACGATCGAACACACGCTGGAGTCATCAAGTTCGTCTCCAGATTCCTCCTCGACCGCATCGTTTCGACGTATTTCTCGTCGGTTCGATCCCACTCGTTCCGCGAATCGATCGGTTACAGCGAAATTCAGTCGTCGAAGCATTTTCGTTCCGACTGGTCGGCTCCCGCGGGACACATCGTTAAGCAGAACACTATCCCCCCGTTCCACTCTCGCGTATCTAAATTTCAGCCACGAAGTCAAAGGTCCCGAAATAAGAGAAACGGTTCTTTGTTCCGTCGTGCGGCGAGAGTCAAAGGACGTAGGTCGTCGAGTTGCACGGACACTATGAAAACACGCCGTTCTCCTTTTCGAGGCGACTCGTCCACGGACCGTGCGGCTGCTTCCGATTGAATTCGAAAGTAGCTCCTTTGAGAATCGCTTCGCCCTTTGTGGCGGTCACCGGCGTTGTCTCCTATATTTCCCCCTCGTTTTATCCACCGCTGGTATCATCGGCGATGTTTACTGCCCCGGGCGTCCCGACGCGTCATATTTTTACGAGGATACGACGGTCGCGTTGCCAACAACGTGCACTAGTAATTCATTTTTTAAATTTGTCAAAACGCAACAGGCCGTAAACGTAGAAAAAATTCTAATCGGAACGATGGAAATGTTCGTCGATAATGATCGTACTTTGCTCGAGAAAAAGTAGTCGTTATAGGTTACCTTTCTGAATGTGTTTCTTCTCGTGAAAATATTGCGCCGTGATTGGTGCACGATAGCCCCGAAATTCTCGTTGGGGTACGGAGCGATTCGATCGATCGATCATTGAAGACGCAGAGTATCGCGAAACGCCTATGCACACGGCACGGTCGAGCGTGCATACACATAACCTAACACATAACCTTAATCGTCGATCGGTCGGTTGGCGTACGTTAGGCGAACCCGGGTCGATATCCTCGGTGTCTGGACCTCGGTTTCTCCGCTCGCTGTGTTCAGCCATCGAAACGGAGATGGATAATTCCAATTTTCGTCGTCTGGCTACAAACCGGGTGTGAATTTAATCAAACGAAATTAGAGTACTTCCCCGAACGAGAGCGAGACACGGAGAAGAATCGTTAAGACGCAAAAGGAGCGCGACGAACAAAGAGTACCGATGGAAAACGGGGGCGGAACCAAGTTCCCGGATGAAATTGAATCGTCGAATTAAGCGTCTGGACGCACGGCGGGCATAGTTTCGATTCCGAGGGGTCGTTACTTCGAATACCGGGATTCGGTTCGAACGAGAACGACAGACAGTGGTCCTCGGATCGAATAGCGAGATTTTTCTGAACGCAGATGCCTTCCTGGGTCCCGTTTGCGAGTACGTGATCGCCCCGGTCGCAAGATACGCCGGAGTATGGGGAATACCCGTGTTGACGGCGGGCGGCCAGGCCGAGGCGTTTCGATACAAGGGCGAACACTATCCCACTCTGACCAGGATGATGGGCTCCCATCGACTGGTGGGCGACGCACTCAGGCACATGTTGAGACGTTTCGGATGGAAAATCGCCGGACTTCTCTATCACAACCACGCGATGGCCAGCAGTCGCGGCAACTCCGAGTGTCACTTCACTTTGGGGGCGATTTTCACCGCTCTGAACCAGACGCCGGTTCATAGAAGCTTTAACCAAGAAACGACCGCCGCCGCCGATTACAGAGACCTGCTCGCCTTCGTCTCGAAATCCGCCAGGAGTAAGTTCCACTCGTGTTGCGTCCCCGTTTTATTTAAATACAGCGAGTCTCTGGAGTATTCGTACTCTTGCAATTTTAACCTTTAAACGATTCTTGCTTCTCAACACTTTACCGACCGCTAACGGTTCACTCTAGATTATCGCGCCTTTTCTTACACCCATAGAAATGTTAAATCATTTGTGAAAATGTTTCCTATATAATTCGCTTTGAATTATTACTAGATAATTAAATTTAACAACGTTTCTTTATTTTCTTGATTGTTAACAAGCTTCCGGTCGGTAAATGTTGGCGGTATAAAGCCGATTAATAGGCATCCGGTTGGTAAGCGTTGGCAGATTCTGTTCCGGTTGCGCCAGCTCGACCGCGCAGCTTCTAACCTTAAAAGTTTCCCTCATGAAAAATTCGGACGTTCTGAAAGTAAAGTGTCGTTCGAATTCTAGTTTTCGAGTTTCGAAAGATTATTTATTTATTTCAACGGACACTGGTCCATTTATACACAGTTCTATCACATAAAATAAATAATACGACGGGGTAGATCGAATACAGTGACGCGATTGATGCTCGAAAGAAGAGTTGGGTTATGGTTACACGCGAACGAGATGAGCAAAGTCGAAATACGGTATAGCGGCGCTATAGGGCGACGGTTGTTCGACGAAACGTTTCGAAGCGTGATTGACAGGATGTTCGGGAAACGAAACAAATATTTCCTTCGTTTCAGTCGTGGTGATGTGTGCAAATTCGACGACGATTCGAGAGATTCTGTTGGCCGCCGAGGAGCTGGGAATGGTTGACTCCGGCGAATACGTATTTTTCTCCATAGAGCTATCCTCCAGGTAAGTGGGTCGTGTTTATCGAAACTGAGAAACGAAAATCTAATGAAATAGTCGTAAACCCGAGCTTACGATTAGCTTAACGACTGCGCGTTTCCCATTTATGTGTATGCACTTAGCGTACAATACGAGATGCAAACTTCTAAAGTCTAACCTGTATCTCGCGTTTCGTTTAATGTTTGTTTGTTCAACGGATAAATACAGAATGTTCTATAAAATTTAACACGGTGAAATCTGTAAGAATCCTCGACTAGAAAGGGAAGGGTTAGGAATTCGAAGAATCTATTTGCTCGACAAGATACTTTCGGTTCCTTTGATGATCGATGCGGGATGATACAACTTTGACGATTCCAAGGTTTTTCCCCTTCGATTGGTAGAACGAAACGACCAACGTCAGTTCTACGAATCGGATGCTATCGGTGCGGGTTGACGTCGGGAGAAATTTAGTGCCTTCTATTGTACTTCTTCCCGTTGAACGGTTAACAATCGGAGAATCGTTCCCGCGTGATCGAGTTTGGTTTGATCTACCAAAAGCCGCAGACCGCAGTTTCCCCGACGAATTCGTGTTCGCCTAACCGGTCGGCGCATTGTCTGAAACGGACCGAACCCCCCTCCGGCTCCGTTGGTCAGTTTCCGACGGTAATGTCGCTGACGTTCGAACACGACCGGCGAGCAAACAATGCGTAACGACGTTTCTGTTTCGTCGGTGCCGTTTCAGCGGCAACAATTCCAAGGACCCGTGGAGGTTGGACACGGACACGGACGAGAGGAACGAGAAGGCGCGAAAGGCTTATCAGGCGCTGTTAACGGTCACGGCGCGTACGCCCGATAATTTCGAGTACTTGAACTTTTCCCAGGAAGTCAAGTCCCTAGCGCAGAGTAAATACAATTTCACTTTTGGAAACAGTTCCGTCTCGACGTTCGTGACTGCGTTTTACGACGCCGTTCTCCTTTATGCCCTCGCCCTCAAGGAGAGCCTGCCGGGACATCCTGGCAAAGTCAATCTAGATGGCGGTAATCTCACTCGTCGGATGTGGGGAAGGAGCTTCAAAGGTAACACCTTTTTTCTTTCTTTCAACTTTCTCTGTTGCTCCCAATTAAATATTATTATCAGCAACTTCGGATCCCTCTTCTTTCACTAGTAACTATGGATGATAATGTACTGTGCTTATGTGCAAAAGAAGGCAAGGCTGTGTATCTTCCAAACGGTGCATGATAGCAGTTTTTAACAAGATATCATTTTTATTGCAAACTACTTATAGTAACTAAATATGCAAAAAAATTATTATTATTCATAAATAATAATATTAATAAGGGAATAAACCCTTTAGTACAAAAGATGTTTGCAAGGATAATTTTAGACTTTCCAATGATCGTTCAATTATATCAGTTTTAGTGTGTACAAAATTCTATTTATATTATTTATTTGTAATTTATAAATTATAAGGTCACATACGCGTTCTTTGTAACTAACTTAAAGCTGTGGAAATTTCTTGGACATTTGTGGATACCCTGTGCGGTTTATAAGATTTTTACAAATACTTTTTATATTTTTTTTTCACAAGGGGATTCTAATCTGTGGATAAATAAATGAATTATCCGTTTTAGGTATAACGGGCGACGTAAATATCGACGAGAACGGTGACCGAATAGCGGACTATTCCCTTTTGGATATGAATCCAGAGACGTCGAAGTTCGAGGTAAAGATCGCGCTAGCATAGGAAACGGTGAGCGCGTGCCGCGTCCTTTGACGATCATTCCGAGTCGTTTCTTGTCGTAGATTGTCGCCAATTACTACGGTGCCAATAAAACGTTGGAATACGTCCCCGGGAAGAGAATCCACTGGTCGGGTGGTCGGTCGGAGCCACCGCCAGACACACCCACTTGCGGATTCGACGGCTCCTTGTGCCCCGACAACTGTAAGTCCGTTAAAAGCTCCGTTATCTCGTCGCGTTACGCGTACCGCGAACTTCTCTCCGATTCATCCGAGTCGTTCCCAACGTTCGCGGGATTGTTTTCCCCGAAACTTTTCCATAACCGGGGGCCTCGCAGTTTCAATCAGTTTTGTTCGACAGCGCTTCCAGGACACGCGATCCTCTCCATGGTTTTAAGTTCCATCGTCGTCGTTCTCGTCGTTGCCTCGGTCTTTATATACAGGTAAGCAGAACCAAACGATCCACGTTCTTAATTATGGCCTGCGTTGGCTTCACTAGCTTCCGTTATATTATTCCACTGTGTTGTCCACGTCCCTAGAAGCTTTTATCAATTTTTGATCGTGCAATTTTATACGCAGAAATATTAAATGTTAAGTATCTTAAAAGCTTGGTTATCTGTTTTCCTATTTTTGGCCTAGAATTATTAGAAAAAGTTTTAACAAAATCCTCTATGTGTACACTTTATTTACTGGTTAAGATTAAAGTAATTTCATCTTGATTTATAATTGTTAATCCTTTGCACTCCAAATTATATTTCAATCTTGTTACCAGCTGCTCCCCAATGCTTTTAAGTGCTTTATTTGAAATTTACCTTATTTAATTTTTCTCATTTTTGGCCTAGAATTATTAGAAAAAGTTTTAACAAAATCCTCCATGTGTACATTTTATTTACTGGTTAAGATTAAAGTAATTTCATCGTGATTTGTAATTGTTAACCCTTTGCACTCCAAATTATATTTCAATCTTGTTACCAGCTGCTCCCCAATGCTTTTAAGTGTTTTATTTGAAATTTGCGTTGATTAAAAATGATCGTATTTTTTAATTTTCAAGTGTAACAATTAAATAATAAATATAATTTAATTTTTTATTTATAAATATTTCAATAACTAAATTTTAAAATTGAGTGCAATAAAATTCTTATGAAATAGTCTTATGGTATAGAAAAAAATTATTGAATGATAAGAAAAAATCAATTATATTTAATTTTCATATATCCAGTGAAAATTATTATCTCTTTGGTTTGGGTTTGAAAAGATGTCTACTATTCGACGTAGGAGTGCAGAGGGTTAAAATATTATTTGATTACCAGTCGATAAAGTGTACGAATTGTCGATAAGTATGTTGTGCACCTTGTTTTCTTTTCTATCCGGTTCGAATTATACCGTGTGCCTAGCAGCAGATCGTTATCAGTTGCTTTTTTTAAATACGGTAACCGTTTCTCTCGTCAAGATATCTTTTTATCATTTTCTTTTTTTAAACGAGTTAAAACCATCCTCCGCGACCACGTAAAGTTACTTATCGACTCGGCTTATAAGTCGCGAGATTAGAGTTTCGCCTTAAGCCGGCGTGGATCTTTCCGTGTACCGGGAACCGTCTTATTTCACGGAGTTTCATCGCCGACGATGAAGTTACGATCCAAAGTACACAGCGTCGTCGACGGGCCCGGAAAAACGTTTCGACGTTTACGTTCGCCCTTTATCCGTCTCCCCGAACGAATTATGTCCCGAGTTTGAACCCACCATCGGATATATAAAGTTTGTTATTCGCGGCGAACGAAGTTGATCCGTTTTAAGCGCGTTTTAAGTTTCGCGGGTGCAAACGGTGCCCGTAAAACGCGAATCGGTCGTGGCAAGACGGTTCCCGTGGTTTCTTCGCGGCTCAGCGTTTTTAATTACGGCTTGGAATATTCGTACGAGTCGACGAAGGTACGCTGGCAGTCGGCGCGATTCAAAGGCGGAATGGAAATCGATTCGATCGGGCGAATTAATTGGCCCGTACTATCCCCGGGTCTGTTTCCATGCATTTGCTCGTAACTTGCGTATGTCCGGCTCCGCAGCGTTCGGTTTGCTCTCGTAATCCCATCGAGCAGGATTCGTGCTCGTTCCGCGAACCATACTCGATGAAACATCTGCCGCGAGACGATGGTTTATTAGCGTTCGTACGAGTTTATCGCCTAGGCAACGGACGCACGATTTTAACTGGCAGAAACGAACGAACTGGGAGACGTCTTTGACGCTCGCGAAGAGGTTATGGTGTCTTGACCGGTTCACCCGCGGTTGGCCGCACTGAAAATCGGCCATCTTTAATTTTAAAGGAACGGGTTAAACTTTTCAGGTTATGATTTATATTTATAATTTAATACGTGAAGAAATGTACAATACAATGGAAATAAGTGTTTATTCATTCTCTTATAGAAAATTTTTTACAGGTTTTATTAGAGATTACGAATGGGTAATTTTGACTGGTTAGTTCTAGTGTTGGATAAAGTTGTCGTCGGTTTGGCTCTAGCCATTTTCTGTTTACTCGTTTTATTTGGTCTCTGTTGACCTGGCAATAATCTTATCGAGTCGGATCGTCGACGAAACACATCTGCCTCGAGACGACGCGTCGTTTGTCCGCGTTTCCTACGGGTTTAATCTCGAACGGTATTCGTTTTCCGCGAAAACCAACGGCGTTCGAACGATGCTGCGGAGTAGTCGCGATAATCGTTTCTTTCGTATTGCAGGCACTTTAAGCTCGAGGCTGAATTAGCTTCCATGACATGGAAGGTACACTGGAACGACATCGTCCTCGTGCCCAACGCGAAATCGAGGGGTTCCATGTATTCGTTGATCGCGAACAAGATGCGCGGTAGTCAACTGGTGAATATTATTTATTTATTTATTTATTTTTTTTTTTTTTTTTTTCAATATTTTTCTTTGACACAATTGGAGTAGAACAATTATCGTGCGATATGAAATATTCAGGGACCTACCATGGATACGTTCGGGTTTCACATTTTTCAACGGGCTCCGGGGGAAACGAGTCTGTTTGGTTTATTTTGTTATTTTTTTATCGCGAAACCACTCGACCGCGAGACAGCTCTTCAAAAAAACGAGAATATCCGTTGCAAATTTTATTCCACGTTTTCTCAACGACGTACACGGGGCCGTGGTCGCGATATTTTTACTCCATTTACCCGATCGAGGTTTCGAGCCAGCGAATCTAAAACGAATACGATCTTTCTGTTTCTCATTGCAGACCATATACTTGGAGGAGAACGTGAGCTTGCCGGACGAGGTGGATAAGAACGCATACGTACCGACCGGTATTTACAAGGTTCGACATTTAAATCGACAGTAAAGCGACGCCATCTTTGACCTTATAATTAACCGTCAGAAAGTATCGAGATATTTTTCGCCCCCCCGAGTCCTCGTTTTTATTCGATTTAAGGATATAAAATAAACCGTCGAATCCACGATTTATTGCAGAACTCGAAAGTCGCCATTAAATTGATACCAAGGAACAAGGTGGAGATCTCGCGACCGCTGTTGCTCGAATTGAAGAGGGTGAGTAACGTCGTCTCGAACAAGGACGTTTTCATTTACTTTGCAACGAGGCGTCACGATCTTTCCAGCAAAACAAGGGAAAGAAACGGAGCCGAAAGTTAGTCGAAAAGTTGTCTCCCTCGTTGAAACTGCGGACTGGCAAACTCAATACTCCCTGCTTCCGTAGATCCTAATGTTTTTTTTTCTCTTTTTTTTCCCCCACTTTCGTCCAGTCGTATATTCGTTTCTCTCGATGGAACCCTTTTCAACCGATAACATTTCTCATCCCCTGCATAGATGAAGGACCTACAGCATGATCATTTGGCGCGATTTTACGGTGCTTGCGTCGAACCACCGCATTGCTGTCTCTTGACCGAGTACTGTCCCAGAGGATCTCTTCAGGTTTGTCGATATCTCCCGCGAATTACTTTACATACTCTCGGGAACTCCGGGAGCTCGTCGTTGGCGAGAGAAAACCGCTGAGAACCGAGAATTACGCGTTGCATGCGTCGTCGTCGCGCGTATGGTTGCGTTTGGAATGTGGACGCCTACGAAGTACGCTCGAGCGCGTAGATTGATCGCGTCTCGCTCTGATCTTTCGCTGTCCGGACTCTTTCTCCAAGACTGATTCGTTCGATCGCCCTAATTTAACCGCGCGTTCCCTCTGCAACCGCTCAAACGCTTGTCATTCACGCTCACGCAACACCGTCACACGCTTCTTTGTTACGGTAGAACTCTATTTATACCACTCGTTCACATAAATTGAGTTGTTTTTGAAACTGGAATAAATCCATTCTTTTGTATGTTGAGATATTTAAGATATTCATATGTCTCTATCGGTTTTGTAATTACTTGCCCATCAATATTACAGTAAAAATGAATGGCAAGAATTTTGTAAGAAACAAGTGAAAATAAATGGAGTCCTACTGCACGGTTTAACCCTTTGTACTCGAATTTTTTTTTCATTCATATTACCAGCAACTCGAAGCAATTTTAGTTGAAAAGATCATATTTACATATAAGTAAATGATATGTGCATTGAAAGAAAAGTCATCGTTATATTATTTTTTTAATTGATTATGGATACAAATGTTATGATATGTAAAAAATTATAAAATTATTACATTTTGTAATCGTCCAGACCTAACCCAGACCTAACCCAGACCTAATCTAGAGCTAATCTAGAGCTAACCTAGACCTAATCCAGACCTAACCCAGACCTAACCCAGACCTAACCCAGACCTAACCCAAATCTAACCCAAATCTAACCCAAATCTAACCCAGACCTAACCCAGACCTCTCGAAGCAATCTCCAATATTGTAATCTTGGCTTTTCTGTACAGGTATCATAAAAATAACGGGTCTGACACACTACAGAATATTATAGTTTTTGCGATTGTCTTTGTCCTCATGTTATGAACTAAAAATTATTTGCATCGTCTCCATAGTGGAGCCCTCGAGAGTGCAAAGGGTTAATATTGTATCACCAACATTGTAACACCAACATTGTATCGCACGTTGCGCTCACGCTTGATCGTCTGCCAATACTTTTGCGTTTCCTCTGCTTCCTGTTGCATGTAGCGTTTCAGAGACACGCAAATTCCTCGTCGCGAAGAGAACCAGAAAATTCGTGCGTTATATTCGGGAAGTTTGAGGCTTTTGTTTTGGAGACACAGAGCAGTTTAAAGTTTAGCGACGTGACTCCCGGCACGTTCTATGGATCGTGTATCCCAATCAGCCTAACGCACTAGCGTAAGAAACGCGCTCGTCGTATCGAAAACGCGTCCTTTTCTCGGAGGCGTGTAACGCGATTTTAAATTTAAATTTACCAGGGCTGGATAGTGAAAATGAATGGGTCGCGCGAAGTTAATAGATCCCCGACACAAAGGTAACGAAAGGGGTGGCGGGTAGGTGAGAAAAATTTACCTCAGCCGTCGGGAACAGCGCGTTGGACGAGCAATACCAGTTTGGCTACGGATAGAGCGAAGCTTTTGCAGCTTCACGAAATGAAAAATATCTGCGACTCGAGATCAAATACAATACCGATCATGCAAAGAAAATTACTGTTAGATCGGTGCTAATTAATGACCGTTTCGTTCGAGTGGCGTGGCCGTGGGAGTCGTAACTTCCGTTGACCTAATTCGATTTCTCTTCTCGCAGGAATTTGCGTATTTGGGCTTGTCTCGTTTGCTCGAAACACGCGTCAATTGGCCGCGACGCTGCCTCGGGCAGATCGTTCGACGATCTCGTACATCGTTAATTATCTCGTTTATTATCCACAAGGTTGGAACGTACTCGCGTCAGGTTTTCTTATTCAACGACTTCGTTTGCCGAGTAAAAGCAGAGAAAGAAAATGCACGAGTACATCGTGCATGGTAAAAGGTTCAGGTTCAACGAATAACCACCTCTTTGGCGGTGTTTGCTTCTCCCAAGCATGAGGAAAGGTTATATAAACACGGGTCCGGAAGCTCTCCTACTTTTCGAGACACAAACAATTTTTTGTTCCCGATGGAATATTTCAGAAATGTTTTAACTTGCTCGAGAGGAAGTACCATGCTTCTCGTCTCGGTGACTCCTCGAGCAGCGGGGGGTATTATTTATATATTGATTTCGGTGCGGATGAAACGTGGTTTCCGGTATCCCCCGTTTACTTAGCCTATTTTCATTTTTAGGTAGAGTAGAACGTGCTACCAAAGCGAGACTTATTATTTCAGTGGCATCTCGCGTAACGCGTCGGGCATATTTATGTTTGCCCCAGGGCCAGCTTGGACCTTCCTACCCCCTTGGGCTACATATTTATTTTACAACGATACAATATTACAGAAGCATAGATGCATGGAACAAAATTGTTTTCATAGGCATGGAAGCATCAAAATTTTATATGTAAAATCTATTGTTAACCTTTTAAGTCCATGAGAGGGCTATTTTCATTATTTGAACGCACACATAATGTTTTAACCCCTTAATGGTCACAAAATTGTTTTCATAGGCATCAAAGCATCAAAATTTTATATGTAAAATCTATTGTTAACCTTTTAAGTCCATGAGAGGGCTATTTTCATTATTTGAACGCACACATAATGTTTTAACCCCTTAATGGTCACAAAATTGTTTTCATAGGCATCAAAGCATCAAAATTTTATATGTAAAATCTATTGTTAACCTTTTAAGTCCATGAGAGGGCTATTTTCATTATTTGAACGCACACATAATGTTTTAACCCCTTAATGGTCACAAAATTGTTTTCATAGGCATCAAAGCATCAAAATTTTATATGTAAAATCTATTGTTAGCCTTTTAAGTTCTTGAGAGGGCCATTTTCATTATTTGAACGCACACATAATGTTTTAACCCCTTAATGGTCACAAAATTGTTTTCATAGGCATCAAAGCATCAAAATTTTATATGTAAAATCTATTGTTAGCCTTTTAAGTTCTTGAGAGGGCCATTTTCATTATTTGAACGCACACATAATGTTTTAACCCCTTAATGGTCACAAAATTGTTTTCATAGGCATCAAAGCATCAAAATTTTATATGTAAAATCTATTGTTAACCTTTTAAGTCCATGAGAGGGCTATTTTCATTATTTGAACGCACACATAATGTTTTAACCCCTTAATGGTCACAAAATTGTTTTCATAGGCATCAAAGCATCAAAATTTTATATGTAAAATCTATTGTTAGCCTTTTAAGTTCTTGAGAGGGCCATTTTCATTATTTGAACGCACACATAATGTTTTAACCCCTTAATGGTCACAAAATTGTTTTCATAGGCATCAAAGCATCAAAATTTTATATGTAAAATCTATTGTTAGCCTTTTAAGTTCTTGAGAGGGCCATTTTCATTATTTGAACGCACACATAATGTTTTAACCCCTTAATGGTCACAAAATTGTTTTCATAGGCATCAAAGCATCAAAATTTTATATGTAAAATCTATTGTTAGCCTTTTAAGTTCTTGAGAGGGCCATTTTCATTATTTGAACGCACACATAATGTTTTAACCCCTTAATGGTCACAAAATTGTTTTCATAGGCATCAAAGCATCAAAATTTTATATGTAAAATCTATTGTTAGCCTTTTAAGTTCTTGAGAGGGCCATTTTTATTAATTGACCGTACATATAATGGTTTAACCCTTTAATGGTCACATTTTTTTTTCAATTTACTGTTCAAAAATGCAGAAATTTTTTTTCGTCCTAAATTGTTGATCAACAAACAACAAAAACCAACGATATTCTTAACACTTTGACTGCAACGTCACCCATATATGGTTGACAAGACTTTTCCACTATGGCATTAAAACAATTTATTTTGAAATTGAAATGTTAAATAAATTTGTATAGGACGAAGTTTAACGTGGCTACGAAAATAAGTACCAAAGACAAATTTTAAGTTATGCAGTTTACAGTTTAAAAACCAAGTTTTGGACTCGTAAAAAATTGTACGGTTTTAACGTGAAATAAGAACACTCGTTCAACACGTTGGCTGCCAGTCTAAAATCCTAAAATTGTTTACGGGACCAAAACTTTCATTTCAGGCAATTGTAAACTACACAACTTAAAAGTTGTCGTAGTAGTTGCTTTCCATATATGGCTGACGTGGCAGTCAAAGTGTCGAATGTTAATTCAATGAATTATGAATTATGAATAATGTTAATGAATGAATGTGTAGCAAATACACGTGCCAAGTGTCTACATAACGTCGATTGTGTTTCGTCGCATTCTACAATGTTGCCTCGGCGGAATCACGCCTTTACGGTTCGATTTGTGATCCTTCAGTCGTTGCGTAGAGAAACGTACGATCACGTCCATCCAATGTGCAAGCGTAACACGCGACGGCGACGCCCAGGCAATCGTTGTTGGCATCTTGGTCGGGAATCGTTGCACGGAGCACCGCGAGTCCAACGTAAATGTAATCGAGCTGTCCGCGCGCGAAACGAACGCCCGCCCGATGGAGGGCTGTTTCGCCCCGTTGATACGCGCAACTATCTCGCCGGCGTGTATTTTCTCCGCGTAGAAGGCCGGGATCGGTTGAACTTTGTCCGAGCCCGATAGAGTTTCGCTGCCCGTCGCTGTCTTCGTTGGCTCGATTAAAAATGTAATCGAATTCCGAGATTAAAGTTTCGTTCTTTCGTGTCGTCGGTTTCAATTGCGAGCAAACTTGGCTACGCGTTTCCAACCCTCGAGGGACGCTCGAACGATCCTCCACACTCGACGACAGAAACAATGTTTATGTTTATGTTTACGTTTACGATCGGTTCTACGCGAACTTTCTTCTCTCGAGTAAATCGGTCGAAAAAACAGTCGCTCGAGCGTTGGTGGGGCCCCGGAACGATATCGAGCGAGTTTCAAAGCTTTTCGATGGTTTCTCGCGACAGGACATACTGGAGAGCGAGCAGATGAAGCTGGACGGAGTGTTTCGTGGATCTCTGATACACGATATCGTTCGAGGGATGGCGTACCTTCACGCATCGGAGCTGAAGAGCCACGGGAACCTGAAGTCGTCCAACTGCGTGGTGGACTCGCGATTCGTACTGAAGATCACCGACTTCGGTCTGCACGAGCTGAGGAAGCTGAATCCATGCGACGCGGAAGTGGACAAGGGCAGCTACGCCTACTGGAGAAGTGAGCAAATCGTTGTAATCGGTGTTTTGCAAAGTAGCTGGATAGATTCTAGACAAATAACGCCGCGGACGACTCGAGTTTCCGGAACAATTCGCCCAGTTAACGAGTTCCCAACGCGAAACAGCCTCGAAACTTCGCCACCGAATGAAACTTTTCGTACTCGTTTAAAGCACGTTGCACGGAACAGAGAGAATCTGGCCATTTACTTTGGAAACTGTACATTCCTAAATATATATTCAAAATATGAAGCAAAAAAAAAATTGATATTTTTGAGGTTTCACACGAGACTCCCCCCTTAATAAATGGGACTGCGCCAGTAAATAAAAGTAATAAAAGCGCTGCGCCATTATTGCACGGAGAAAGAGGGTTCAAAGGGGCGCTAGTAAGAAGAATGACAGTGACGAATAATTTTTGTTAATCTCCCCGGCATTGTAAAGTCTTTGTTACGATTACAATGAAACGTTCGCCAATTATAACGACAAATTAATCTCGGTTCGCTTTTTTCGCCGCCTATGGAGCCGACGAATAAATCGATAAAAGCGATTAACTTTCCAACATTCTGCTTTAAACGACCGTCTTTTAATTCGACTTTATTAAAACGAACGGGCGCTGCACGCTGTTAACAATACGTTTCTCGCGGAATCGAACGCTAAAAAATTCGAATCCTTTTTAATCGTCGCGAGGGAACGTAAATCATTCGCGAATATTCGTTTTTAATACTGCTCTTAAATCTACGTTTATTATTCGCTCTATAGCTACGCCATTCTCTTTCCTCCGCCAAACTTTACAGTCGACATAATGAATTGTTTCTTTAATGTCTCGTTAGCTTTCCTCCGCAGTTGTCGCTTCCTCCCCCCCCCCGTGGCGATTTAAATTTTCCAGCAAAACTTAACCGTCTCTTATTTGTCTTCCACTTTGTTTCGACTTTCGTCTGAAAGTTTGAAATCCAAAAAAAGACTTCGTGAGAGATATTTCTCGTATTAAAGTAAATCTAACGAACTAGAGTTAGTAATGAATTAAGTTGATCGAGTCACGTGTTGTTTATTTTGTGTTTGGTGCCAAAGACACGCATTAATTTACAATGTACGCGTATGATCTGACTATCTGTACGTAACTGCAGGTTTGATGAGCATGTTTGTTATCGTAGGGCAGCTGTGGACAGCCCCGGAGTTGCTGAGGATGGAGAGGCGACCGCCCGAAGGCACTCAGAAGGGCGACGTGTACAGTTTCGCCGTGATCGTCCACGAGATCGTGGTTCGCCAGGGACCGTTTTACTTGGGAGACAACTGTGATCTCTCCCCGAGGGGTAAGTCGTTCGCTACGAGAACGCCTCGACAAGGTTTATTCAACGTCGAACCGTCGACCAGGGAGGCGACAAAACACCGAAACGATTCGTCGACCTTCGAAAACGAGCAACGCGGGGGATTTCCACGAGGAAACGCTTCGTTCTTATTTCGCCGCGGGCACGAAACCCGGAACAAATTGTGCAAAGTAACACAATTATCTGGAAGTTTTCGCTTTACCCAGCACTGTTGCTCCCGTCCATTTTTATGCGACTTAACGTGTAAACACGTCGCGGACGTGGTGTTGAATTCGTTGGAGGGAATGCGATATAAACGAGCTTCAGCCAGCGCTTTGCCATACCATAAATCGTTGTAACATTGTTTGGTCAGAACCGATAACGGCGAGTTTGATGCCTCGGTGCAAGATTGCACGTCTGAGATACGCGGAGAGAAAATATGAAGCTTGCAAATTACCCTGGGGAACTATTTTCATTTTTATTTTATTCGTTCTTCTTCGAAATTTAATCTCGAGTATCGTTAATTCTCAAACCACCACCAAGTTACAGCAGTTGAAAGATCGACAGTTTGTCAGCCCTTAGCGACCTCTGAACTCAGGCGTGTAGCGTATTACGTGCACGAAACTTTGATCGACCGTGTCTCGAATTTCACGTATGTGTGGGTGGTAATCAACCCTTACCGAGCGTCGATAAAAACCACTTTGCAGCACAGATAAGGTAGAACGAGTAGACCTTACACCCTATGGATTTTCATGGCCCAAACTCACTGTCATATCGACGTGAAAATTCAGAGGCGATTTTAGCTCTTCTCATGGATGGCGGTCGGTTGAAAAACTATTTACTGAATTAATATAGATGGGCAGACACCTGTAGTATGTACGTAAATACGTGCAAATTGATTATGGGTGGAATTAAAAGGCAAACCAGTATTATCAGATGGTAGACCAGGTAACTAAATTTTTCGTCGAATAAAAAAATTTCAAATCGTTTTGGAAAAATTATCTTTGGCTACGGGGGTCAATTACAATCACTTTTGGCGAATAGACATACCCTCGAAATCCTACGCAGTTTCGAGAAAAAAATTCGAATAGGTAGTGAAGTTTTTCGGCAAAATTGAAAAATTTTAAATCGTTCTGGAAAAATTATTTTCGGTTGTGGGGGTCAATTATAATCATTTTTGGTGAATAGACATACCCTCGAATTCCTACGCACTTTCGAGAAAAAAATTCGAGTAGGTGCTGAAATTTTTTGGCGAAAAAAAAACTTTCAAATCGTTTTGGAAAAATTATTTTTAGTTGGGGGAGTCAATTGCAATCATTTCTGGTGAATACAGATACCCCTGAAATCCTACGCATTTTCGAGAAAAAAATTCATGAAAACAGTACTACTCCAAGAATGATAGTTGACAGAAACTCTTGATTAATGATTTTATAATTCCAATGAAATTAATCGATCGATGCTCAAAAGTCTGGGCCGTGTACAGCTTCAATTTCTTTACAAAAAAATGAAATTTCTGTAATTTCTCTTGCGCTCATTTCTATAAGTGGTGATGTTGCAAGTGACACGAAAAATAGGGCGAAAAAAAACACATTTGTACGCAAGTTCTACTCGTGTGCCTCTTCTGTGCCTACAGAATCAGTCGGTAAGGTAGGAACGCGCGCGTCGTATCGACTGGTGCATCGTGGCGTGAGCTTGCAAGGTAAACGTAGTCGGTCGGTAAGGAAGTCTGGGAGCTTTCGCAAGCTCGGTCTGTTCGATAGCGTCAGGATCGATGACAGGACGGAACGTGCCACAAGTAGGCTAGGAGCGTTTCGAGTCGGGGGTTGAAAGCTCAGTCGAAGCTTTCACGCGTCCTGGAACGCACACGGGTGTTTCGCGCGCGGTGCTCGTTCATCGTTTCTCTCCTACCCTCTCTGTCGCTCATCTTTTCTCGCTACCTATCGCTTACGTCTTCTTCACCGTCGTTCTCCGCCTCCTGTATCGGCACGCGAAATCGCCTGTACGCGGCTATGGCAGAGGCTATGCTCTAATAATCGTCGGGTGGAAGGGAGAGGACGCGGTAGGTCTCTGCTAGTACCGGTCGTTTAATTAACCCCGAGCCACGGTGGTCGCCGAAAGAAACGTGCGTTCGCGCGTGCCATCCTGCGTGCCTGGCTGCGTGGTTGCGTGTTCGCGTGCTTTGCGTGTCTGTTGACCGACGTGCTTGCGTGCCCCATCTCGATACGTACGTGCCTGTGTTTACGAATCGCTCGACCGTCCCATTTACGCGGCCCGATTTTCCTTTTTGCTCGATATTTCACCCTCTTTACCCCCCACCGTTCCCAACCCACCCTCCTATATCGCCCGTTCACCCTTTTTTCCACTCTGGTCTTTTTCCAAGCCAATTACCCTGATTTCGTATCCCGAGAATCCGGCTGTTAATTAATTACTCGTCTCTCGCAGGCCCTCGCTGCTTTCTCGCCGGGAAACTAATAGTCCCACGTAGCGAATAACGAACGACGATCCCGGGGTGCAAACGACGGAGAAACATCCTGCGCGGAAGTTTGTCGAGCCGCAATCTCGCTGGTCCGTAAATACCGTCGTCCTTAATTCGCGGGACGGTTTCGATCGCCTCGTACGCGCGGGGGTGGGTGAAAATGTCGTTCGCGACCTTACGCGATCGTCGAACTATTCGTTCGAGAGTCCGTTGAACCGGTATCGTTTCGAGATCGAAGATCCACGGGGGAAAGCGAGCCTTTCGAAACGAGGCAGACGGTATCCAATTTGCTTGGTTGGCTCTGGAAACGTTACGCTCGAACGGGCTACGGAGCGACGGCCAATTCGATCCGAAGCAATTTTCTCCTTTATCTGCGAATTGTTCCGAGGATGGCGCGCGAACGCGTAGAGATCCTCGCGAAAGGGACCGGGATGGGAGTCTTCGACCTCGAATTCGAGCACGCGTTGACGCGTCGAGGGGAACTCGATTTCTGGTGAAAGCTTTCCGGGTGCCGGGCGTTTTGGATATTGCATATCGATCTTGGCTGGTCCATTGGATTCTTGAAGCTTCTCGCCGACAAGGGCTGGGAAATCACGATCGTGGAAATTCTATTAGCTGCGAGCGATTCGAGACGACGTATCGGTTGTAAGGACGAATTAACTCGATAACGCGAGCATGTTCCAAGTAGCTCTCCTCGCGTGTACTCGGGCATCGATTAAACGATAACCGTGGAGACGATAACGTTGAACGTCGACGACGATGAGCGCGAGATTTCGGGGCCACGCGCCATCCTCGATTAATAACGATTTCAGATTCTCTGAATTCCGAGTTACGACTCTACGAGCGAATGTTTCGAACTGATATTCAGGTTGAATGTAGGTGTAGAATGTGTCTGAAAATTGTATTCGTGTCGCGGGAAAAGCAACGCGAGAGAGAGGTGTAGGAGATCGAGGATAAAATCGGAACGGTTCGGTGGAAATAAAACAGGGTAATTGGAAAAAGAGGAGAAATGGCGGAGAAAAGCAAATCGTCGAACACTAGTAGCCTGACGTTGCCGGCGATACCTGGCGCCAGCCCCGACGGCGGGGCCAGTCCACGGAGGGCCGTCAGTCCGCTGCTGGAGGTCCGTAGGCCCCACTGCACCCTCAACTGCGAGAGTTGCAACGCCATCTTGGAGGATTTATACAGACACAACAGTAGGTTCAATCTTTACCTTTCCCCAGACGCGACCAATTCAATTCCGTTCCCGGGAAATACTCCCGAGAATACTCCTCCCCCTATCCGTTTCAATTATAGCAACGCTGTCTTCTATTTTAATCCTCGCATTCTTTTGCAAACTATTTTTTACCGCTACTTTGTTACTAACACAGAGTATAAAACGGTTTGTAAACAATGTGCCCTTGATAACGTTCGCTTGGTTCCGCGACGCGAACGTTATCGAGGGAGGGTACACAAAAATGTACAACGTTTTAAAATCATTCGTAGCTCAGATTTAAAATGGGAAGCTACTTCGTTACGACGACAAAGTATAAGACTGTTTGAATAATAAAAATGATCATAGTTTGCTTATAGCAGAGATTTTAAAATCATTCGGAAGTGAAAGTATACAGGGTCTTCCTGTACCTGGGAAAAATTTTAATGGGGGACTCTGGAAGCCAGAATAAGACGAAAATCAAGAATACCAATTTGTCGATGGAGGCTTCGTTAAAAAGTTATTAACAATCAAATTCAAAAATTTGAAATCGTTCTAAAAAAATTATTTTCCGTTGCGGGGGTCAATTACAATCATTTTTTATCATTACACATACCCTCGAATTCCTACCCACTTTCTAGAAAAAAATTCGAGAAGGTGTGAAATTTTACGACGGAATTAAAAATTTTCAGATCGCTATAAAAAAATTATTTTCAGTTGCGGGGGGCCATTACAATCATATTCGGTGATTAGACATACCCCCAAAATCCTGCGCATTCTCGAGAAAAAAATTCAGAACGGTCGGAACGTTAAACGTTAATAACTTTTTAACAAAGCCTCCATCGACAAATTGGTATTCTTGATTTTCGTCTCATTTTGGCCTCTAGAATCGCCCATTAAAATTTTTCCCAGGGATGACCGAACACCCTGTATAGTTTGTTTTCCAAATTGATGTCCTATTATAACTGAAACTTAAAATAAGAAGGATTTTTTTTTAACAGTGATGCACCTTTTTCTCGTTTTTAATTGCTTCGCATGTATTTATTTGGTCTGTGCATAAACGTTGCATAAAAGATGGGTGAAAAACGACCCAAGGGAAGCATCGAAAATTATCGAAAGGGGATGGATAATGGGAATCTGGAAGTTTGAAAAATTGATGCCAGGGACGTGATCCGTGCCAAAGCCGCCCCAGCATCGAGATTCAAAGTACCAAGCTTTCTTGCATATTTTACTCATCGAAATGGCACCGTTTGAGAAATTGGAAAGGTTTCCGCCACGGCGATTATCATAAGTAGGAGAGTTAGGGACCCCGGTGTACCAAAGTATAAAAATATACGATCCCCCACCACCCTCTTTGGAAAGTCCTGGCTTGGGTGCTCTCGAGGCAAAGGCAGAGATGAATTTTTTCGCGTTCGCTATCTCGTCCGTAAAGCTCCTCTCGCTTATCCTTGTCGATTCTCATTCGTACCGACCTTTCGTACTATTTCGCTAATGCCCGTCTCGTCGGTTCGCGATCATAAATTTCTACTCGGCCGTTATCGTGCCGCTGGAACTCCCTGTCTCGTTTTCCTTCTTAACCTTCCATTATTACAACTTTCTTCCTTCGTGTATTCGTGCCCTTCGAGCTGAATTAGTTTCTGCCCTGCTTTCGAATGCGTCGCCCGGATCTTCCATCCGCCAAGGCTTCCCGTATAATTCTTCTCAGATATATCTACTTTGTTTTGCACAGAATCCCTGCCTCGAGTTCGGGCTCCTCAAAGAAACAAATTACCATTAATTTTCTTCCCCGACCTCGCGATGGAATTTCGTACAGAGAAATTTACTCATTTCGTTATATAAAAACAAGTGAAACATTTGTTACTAACGTGGACAACTATTATTTACAAAAAAAAAACATACCAAACACGTACTCGTGGTTGTACATTATTTATTTATTCAAGAAACGGAAATTTGAGTAGTAGAATTTTAATGCGAATTAGGTAAGCAGTGTAAAAATAAAGTGTTAAAAAAGTTTAAATATACATTATAATGGTGATTCGCTATAAATTATAAAAAGGATGTTCTTTATGCATTGAAACTAGTACAAGTTAATTTTCTCGTAAATTGATATTGAATAAATTAGAAATATAATTTGTTGGCGGTCGTGGAACGTTGAATATACCGGCAGTCGACCGATCACCGAAGTGCAGCATCATTTGGTCGCGTGCAGTACAGGGATGGGTGACCGCCTTCCTTTGGCATTAATGCATCGCTTTATATCGTGTTTTTCTATCGATTTTGTAATTGTGCATTACTTGTACGGTTATTAAGACACGAAAGAACTAAAATTATTTCGCAAGTAGAACAACACAGTGTTAATAATCAATATTTAGTAAAAATAAACGGAAAAAAATTCGTGGGAAGATTGATCAAAGAAATAAAATTAAAAATGTACAAAATATTAACTAAAAATGACTCCACCAACGCTGTGTTAATAATCCTGTAATGGATGCACGTAAAAAACAATTTATAGTAAATCACCATTGTAAGCACAAGTACGGAGAGTAATAAACAGTACATATAAAATAAATCGTGTAACAATTACGGAGCATAAACCGATGTAATAACGAAGTTTAGCCGCAATAAAAGCGCCAGCCACAGCTCGTCAATAATAATAACATTGCCGCGAGCTTCAGGTCCCAGAAAGTTTGTGCAAGTTTCGCAGGTGCACGCGCACCGGGGAATCGATCGATTCGTCCTGAGGCGAGAAAAACCTCTGTTCGTCGACCGCGCGCGAGACTCGAGCGGAATTTTAAACGGAAACGGTAATGGCCCCCCGTTTATCGAATTTAACGCGATTCCTTCCGCGAGCTTTTTCTGCCGCGACGCTAAACGAAACGAGCAGGATCTAATATTCCGACGATCAAGATCGTTTCACGTTCGATCGACGGTATCGAAATTTGTGGATCCGTACCACATCCAGAGAACGATAGACGACGTTGTCTGTGATTCGAGGAAACCGTGTGTGTTTTGGGGCTCGTTGTAACGATCGTTTTCGGGCTCGAACGCGTAAAACAATACGTTTTCTTGGCCCTCACGGAACACCGTCTGTCTGTAGAGTGTGGTTCCGGGAACTAGGTCAAGCTTTAGTTCTTTTCCATACGAAGATGCCACGCACTGGTACTCGATAATGCGGAAATCCCACGATGTTTGTTTTATTTATTCGATTCAATTACCAGTTGGAGAGGATTCAACACAAATTCATTCGTATGAGTAAATGAAACTGAAGATACGCCCGCATTTTTTGTCGCATTCTTTGCAATCATACATGCCAAAAGCATCTTATTAAATAAATATTATTATTATCGAATAATACATTTTAAAGGGCAATACCCTTTTTTACAAACTTATATAGGTAAAACAGAATATAACAATATAGTAACAGATATATGAGCCGTTTATTTTGAAATTGGCCCAAGTCCATTTAATTTAAGGGTTTGCGTTTCAATGAATTTAAAAATTTAATTAAATCCAAGGGTGTTAAATTTATAGTTCCTATTAAAATAGTGGCAATTATTAAGCGAATAATTTCCTTTTTCTTATCAAGAATGGAGTCAGGCCACTTTCAAAATTAACAGCCAGATTTGTATTATAAATGTACAATTATATACTATAGAATTACTATGTATACTAAATAAGGAATGTTACTCGTTTGTTACAATTTCGATAGTTGCAAAAAGTTCGCGTTGCATTTGCAATATTGGATCCAGCAAAAAAGTTACATCGTAAAAAGATAGTCCTTCCTCCGTTACGAGATTCAGCAGTTTTCCCCAATTTTTTGCACGCCAAAGCTCGTCCCAGTTTCGGGGATACCGCGAGTCTCGAAATGGTCGCGCGATCGCAGCTCGTCCGTCCGAGTTCACCGCGGATCATTCCACTGAAACGGCAAGTGGTAAGCGTCGCGATAGAGGCGGCCGAATGCCCGGCGAACTAACCGTCGAATAATTAACGCGCCCGTGCCGAACGGTGTCGCGAACTGCCTCGCGTTTCGAGGTCGGCCAACTTTTCCCGCTCTTTCGTGCGTTTTCTAGGTCATCCGTATCAAAGTTGTCCGGGGGGGAAAAAAATAAAAGAATTCCGATCGGTCGCGCGTATATTTCCTCGCGAGTGTTTACCTTCTCCTGACGACGTGGACGAGATTAAAAAATTTCCGACGGAACACACCCCGGGCCTCGAGGACGACTTTGTCGTGCTGGACCAACGAATTTCTGTTTCTGTTTCAGAGATCGTGGAGGGGGTGAAGAGGGGCGGAGGATCGCCTATGAGGCCCGCCATCGGCGAATCGTCCGCTGAGGAGGTGGTGAGTATTCGTGTTTTCCGCCTGGTGTCGCGTCTGTCTTTTTTTTTAACGCCTGTACTCGCCACCAGGGGTGGCTCTCATCTCTCTCGCAAGCGCTCGACCAATTCTTTCGTTCCTATATACAGAGTGTTTGGCCACACGTGAAAAAAATTTTAATGGGGGATTCTGGAGGCCAAAATAAGACGAAAATCAAGAATAGTAATTTGTTGATTCAGGCTTCGTTGAAAAGTTATTAACGTTTATAGTGGAGCCTGTACTGAATTTTTTTCTCGAAAATGCGCAGGATTTCGGGGGTATGTCTATTCACCGAATATGATTGTAACTGACCCCCGCAACCGAAAATAATTTTTTTATAGTGATCTGAAAATTTTTAATACCGTCGAAAAATTTCACATCTACTCGAATTTTTTTCTCGAAACTGAGTAAGATTTCGGAGGTATGTCTATTGATAAAAAATGATTGTAATTGACCCCTGCAACTAAAAATAATTTTTTTATAGTGATCTGAAAATTTTTAATTTTGCCGAAAAATGTCTCATCTTCGCGAATTTTTTTCTTGAAAGTGGGTAGGAATTCGGAGGTACGTCTATTCACCGAAAATGATAGTAATTGACCTTTGCAATCGAGAATAATTTTTTCAAAATGATTTGAAACTTTTCAATTTCACCGAAAAATTTAGGCACTACCACCCCTTGTCGATTTTTCTTAAAAATTCAATTTTGATTTTTAGTAATTTTGTTTGACGCCCTACAGAAAAGTTGTCTAATACTTTTTTGTAGCTACCTACGAGGTCTACTTCAGAAAAAAGTTTCATTCAAATATATTCACTATTGTAGGAGTTATGGTCGTCTGAAAATTGGACCATTTTTGTGGGGTTTTTCTCATTTTACGGGGTCAAGGAGCAACTTTTCCAACATTCTTAGGATTTCTAAATATTCTTCGCCAAAATACGCGCCGTTTGCGCGTTGAAACATTAAAATCCCCCAATCCGTTCGGGAGTTATGATATTTTAAAGATATAAATGAAATTTCGGGGGACCATTTTTAGGGGACATTAAATTTTCGGTCAGGAATTTTTTTCTCGAAATTGCGTAGGATTTCGGGGATATGTGTAATGACCAAAAATGATTGTAATCGACCTCTGCAGCCGAGAATATTTTTTTTAGGACGATTTGAAATTTTTTTTTTCCGTCGAAAAATTTCACACATTCTCGAATTTTTTTCTCGAAAGTGTGTAGGAATTCGAGTGTATGTATAATGACCAAAAATGATTGTAATTGACCTCCACAAACGAAAATAATTTTTCCAGAACGATTTGAAATTTTTTAATTTAGTCGTTAATAACATTTTAACGAAGGCTCAGTCGAGAAGTTGATATTCTTGATTTTCGTCCTATTTTGGCCTCTAAAACAATCTGTATATGTTGCTCGACCAACGTCTTGAACAGAGCCTGCTAGAGTTGCATTAGTTATGAGTACACTAGCAGGCCCCAGGACCAAACATTTCCCCTCTCCTTTTCTTGCTACTATCTCTACCATTCCTCTATCTAGTAAGAGATATACAATAGTAGTAGGTATATAATTAGTGCAGTAGTGTATCAACCTTTTTAGTCCTCTACTTTTACTATTCCAAACAGGTGGCCACTCTGATGAAACGATGCTGGGCGGAAGACGCCGCCGACAGACCAGACTTTTCCGCGCTCAAGCAAACGTTACGGAAAATGAACAAGTGAGTAGCCCGTATTCTCCCCATAAACTTCGAAACAAAGAATTTTGGTCCCCCATATCCGGACGAAAAACGAAATATCTCGCGTTTTAACGAGGGACGAGTAAAATCGTGGAAATCTCTGCGGCTAGTGAAACAGAGGAGGGAAAGAAAAATAGTCGTAAAATTTAAATGCGATGCAGTTTAACTTTACGAAGCAGGATTATTCGTGTCCTCGATTACCTCGTTTATCCGTTGCGTCGCCCCGAGACCGATTTCTTTGCTGCAAATGTAATTTCGTTTCCTCGTTTCCTCGTTTCCCTGCTTGTCCCGCTGACTAACGGCCGTTTCTCGTGCATTTTCTTCGTTCTGTTCGGAATCGAAACGCCGTTAACTCCGTCGAGCACGATAAATGCATACACAAGTATTTCGAGCCACGTTTTATTCGATAATAAATTCATACATCAGAACAGACGTTCGATAGTTCTCTTACATTCACGAACCGTGAAGAAACTTGATTTCTAAAGACAAACGTTCCATTTAATTCGTTACAATAAAATACTAACGCACATTTACTCCCACTAGTATTCGTACACTATAATGGTGATTCAATACAGATGAGAATTAACTTGTTTTTTATGGTTTTTAAAATTTGTACAAGTTCATTTTTTTCATACATTGAGATACGCTAATATTAGAACTATCAAATCAGTCAAAATGAACCATTTGTAATTTTAAATGAAACTTGTAAAAAATTTACCGTAATTTTGTATAAGAGAATATATAAACACTTATTTCCATTGCAATATATATTTATAAAAAATAAATAAATAAACACACTATAATTGTCCATATATGGGTGACAGGATTTACCATTATGATACTAGAAAAATGAATTCTCAAGTTAAGACGTCGAGGGAAATAAATTTGAACAGAGTTTGCAAATTTTAACAAGGTTATAACAAGTACTGAAACAAATTTTATGTTACGTAGCTTACAATGGTTTAAGATTAAAATTTTGTGCTGAATATTGTACAGTTTTGATCAGTGAACGTGTTAAATAAAATACGTGAGCGGTGGTGGCACGTAGAAAACAGTTCTCGGTCCGATCAGCGACGTTAAGCGGCGTTGGGCGCGTCCAGCAGAAGATGGGGTGACCACCGCCGCTTGGTGAAACTATTGTACTATGCATTTTTCGATGAATTTTCCAATCGAGCAATTACTTGTTCAATTAATATTAACAAAAAAAGACCATAATTACTTTGCAAATAGAAATACCCACAGTGGTAATAAATAATATTTAATAAAAACACACGGGGGGAAACAAATTCGTAAGGAAAAAACTCCTTTCCATTTCTAATCACCGTTATGGTGTACAAGTGCAATCATGGAGTGTGTTTAGTCGCTTGGAAACTTCAAAGCCTCAAAGTCCTTTCGGATCCTTACAGGATTAAATCGTCTTTCCGGGCTCGCATGAAATTCCCTTCCTTCTGCGTCGGCTCCGTTCTCCGTCCCTCTGATTCCGTCTTCGTCTCGGGGTCGATCGCCTCTATTATTGGCATAGTTGTGATGTTCCGTGCCAAGTTGGACCTACCTAAGAATTCGAGAAACATTCGAACCTCCGCGTTGATCGATCCGGGGGGGGGGGTCGATAATCGTAAGAAACGGGTTCAAATTTTCCGCGCTCTTTCGACAATCCCGATTAATCCCGGGAACCTTGAAACAAGTCCAAAATTCGATCAAAACGATAATTCAAACGGAGTCCATAGAGAAAGAGGTTGAGAACGGGATCGATTCGATTACAAACTTTCTCGACGTATATATAACCGGCACGGTGGTACTATATTTACCCGACAGAGAGCGTCTCGGGTTTCTCGTGAGAGGATCAAATCTAATGCGTTGTAAAATACACGGAGGACACGTAACACCGGCCAGTTAATTGATTTATATAAGAATAATATGTCCGTAGCTGCAATTTCGCCGCGGATGGATGTTTTTCCAGAGATATTAATCGTATCGGAGATAGTCACCGATTGTAATTGTGTTACCGACGTGGGTACCGCCTACGTCGCGCCGAGATAAATCTAAGAAATTTGTACCGTACCCGGTTCAATTATAGCGGAGATGCTGTTAAAGCGAGGGCGCTGGATAATTGGACAATATTCAAGGTACCGGGGCGGAACTAGAATGTTGTGTAAGAGTTTAACAGAGTAGACATGCTTGTAAAGACGGATAATAATAAGAATAAGAACTTTAAGAGCCCTGTTATATTATAACAATAGAAGGATTTGTTATATCGTTAACGAGCAAGTTAAATTGTGGAAATCCACTTGAACAGGGAAAATAGAAGAGTAACAAAATAATATAGCTTGAACATTAACAAATCTCTAGAAAGATAAATCTTCGTAAATGGGCCACTCGAGCTTCAGAGGGTGTACGAACGAATTCTTTTTAATATTTCGTATTTAAAGATCGACCATTTTGAACCGTTTTGAACAGGGAAAATTGAAGAGTAACAATAATATAGCCTTTTAAAATTACATTATTATTTTGCTCGTTGATGTAGCAGCATTGATTTAACAAATCTCTAGAAAGATAAATCTTTTTAATGTTTCGTATTTAAAGATCGACCACAGTTGATCCTTCTGTTTTGTTAATTTGTCGCGTCCTTCGATTCCTTCGTAAAGTTTGTTGGCGTCGCGAAACACCCTTTCGTAGTCCTCGATTAAAAGTTTGAATATCGTAGCGTCCCCGACACACTTTCGATGTTTTTAATCGGGGAAAAAGATAAGATTACGATCGTGGTGTAATTAAGATCCTTTAACGAATCGGATCCTCTCGATTTCTCTGGCATATGACGTACTATTGAGCAAACACACGTTTCAGGAGTGGTTCGAGCGCTCCTTTTTCGAATCTCGGCGACGTTTGGTCAGGGGAATCTCTCCGAGTGTTTTCTGTGGCAACATTTATTTGAAACGTTTCGAGAGTCGAACGTTTTCATCGATCGATACGGGCGCCCTGTTGCGCGGCGCTCTGCTCTCTGCGCAGATGTTCCCGCGTTTCCTCCATTTCCGTAACCACGTCCACGAGCGGATTTCAACGCAATTTTCTGCCGCGAACTTTTCCGATTCCGGACCATCGCTAACTTTGGGATTCATTAAATCCGACCAGTCGATAACGGAGCCAACTTAACTTCTCCGCTGCTACGCGGATCAAAAATTACCATTCGCTATATCGTGGAATCGAAATACTCGAGAGAAGGGGTCCTTGCGTATGCAATAATATTTGGAGCAAAGATCGATCGATTCCTTCAACGGCGAAAATCTTTCTCCAAATACGATCCTCCGGCGCTACTTCCGGTATTGTTGAGCGAAGAATGGCTGGTGATAGAACCGTTTGCTCGTTTCAGAGACCACGAGAGCAGCAATATCATGGATAATTTGCTCTCTCGCATGACGCAATACGCTACCAACTTGGAGGCCTTGGTGGCGGAACGAACCGCGGATTACCTCGAGGAGAAACGAAAATGCGAGGAACTTCTCTATCAGTTACTGCCAAGGTGAGCAAACACAGTAAAAAGAATCTGGCCTGAATAGTTCAGATCTTATGCCTTCCTGTTTTAAACTCGAGCTACGATACAAAAATCACGCAATTTGTAAACAGAACAATATAATCACATCTATTGGAATTGGGTGAAAAAGCAGTACACTTTGTAAGTAAAAATGAAACTTTATTCTGTGGTCTGGAAGGACGTCTTTACTCTGTCAAAACTGAACAGGAAGTGAAGCTTCAGATCCCCTAAAAGAAAATCTGGCGTCCACTTAAAAGGAAAGAAACCATTGCCTGCACAAAACAGACCCAGGCCAATGGACAGTTAGATTCAGTTTTGTAATGATTATTTATTAATAATCCAACAATATCTCTCCAAGCATCGTAGTTCGCTGGAGAATCATCCGTACACGTGTCGTGTTCGATCAATTTCAGTCACGAACGGTTCAAGTTCCGAACGTTAACGAGAAGATCCCCCACGGGTCAAGCGGTATCCCTTTGAATCGTAAAGTTCCGGAAATTGTTGTTGGTCAGAGGTTGGTTACGACGTAACTTTCAGGTCCGTCGCGTCTCAGCTGATACTCGGCCAGAGCGTAATCGCCGAAACTTACGACCAAGTGACCATCTACTTCAGCGACATCGTAGGATTCACGAAACTCTCCGCGGAGAGCACGCCCCTCCAGGTGGTGGATCTACTCAACGATCTCTACACGTGCTTCGATTCCATCATCGAGAACTTTGACGTCTACAAGGTATGTTCACGATCTTACATGCTTTGGAAATTTGGAAAGATTCTCGAGTAATACACTGTCTTCTTTTTCTAGGTGGAGACGATAGGCGACGCTTATATGGTAGTGTCGGGATTGCCCGTAAGAAACGGCACGAATCACGCCAGGGAGATTGCTAGGATGAGCTTAGCGCTAAGGGACACCGTGATGACCTTCAGTATTCGCCATAGACCCAGCGAGCAGCTGAAGCTTCGAATTGGAATGCATTCCGGTAAAAGTCGAACCTCCTGAAACCATCCTTTCGTATTCCTCGCACTCCTTTACCTTCTGGGAAGAAAAAACGAGAATGAAAATTGTATTCTGTTGTTAATTTTACTCCACGCTGGTCAGTTTGATGATTGAATTGTTAAAAAGTGCATAATCTGTTGCAACTTCCATGTTCCAGGACCTTGCGTGGCTGGAGTGGTCGGTTTAAAGATGCCAAGGTACTGTCTCTTCGGAGACACCGTCAACACGGCTTCTAGAATGGAGAGCAACGGAGAAGGTATAATTGCAGGGTCTTCTTATATTTCAGTGTCCATTTGTACCGTTTTCATGTATCTTGTGTTTGTTACTCCCGTCTCAAGCTCTAATGATCCACGTGAGCCCAAAGACGAAGGAGATCTTGGACACCTTTGGAACGTTCGAGCTGATTTGCAGAGGAGAGGTGAACCTGAAGGTGAGGTCTTTTTCGCCGAGAGCTTTTCTATCGTTAATAATTACTCGTTACTTTGAGACTCCTGCCTCGCTCGCAGGGCAAGGGCAAGATGACCACGTACTGGTTGACGGGCGAGAAGTCGACGAACAATAACCTACAGCCAGTAAGCGCGATGCCGACGCCGTTGGCTGGAGCGATAGAAGCACCAGCGGCCATGACAGTTATCGCGCCGACCACGACGACGATAATCGCTCAAGCTACGTCGACGTTCGATCCGCGACAGGACGAAACAGCGAACGTGGCGGATCAGGCTAAAGTTCAAGAGAAACGGTCGTCCCAGACGGTGCAGCAAAACTGTCAGGATCAAAATACGAATCACAGAGCGTCGCAGAAGCTCCAAGAGCAGCCACGATTCCAGTCGAGCCAGCAGAAGGGTCAGCAGCTCAGACAGCAGAGCCCCGGTCGAAACGAGGGCCAAATTCAAAGTCGAAAGGGCGGCAATGAGGGCAACGGCGACGGTTCGCCGTCACGAAATCGCGTCTCCGTCGGTTCGAACAACGCGGTTCCTCAGAGTCGACGGTCCTATCAGTCCGGGGACAGTCTGCCCAATCACACGGAAAGCGGTCCCAACGCGCCTCTGCTTGTACCCGCGACGCCCCTCCCCCGCGTTTAGCTCGATTGCACCTATCGCGCGACGTCTCGCGGCGTTTCGTCGATAAACCGATTTCATTCCTAATACGTGTATCGTTGTTTCGTCTAGAATAGCAGCGAGCTCCGATCGGCGAGCCCGATCGATATTTGGGTCCACTCGTTCGAAAGAAAGACTTTCGATGATAAAATTAAGAAATCACGGGAACACGGAATCGCCCGTTCCGCCGAGGTACGAAGGGAGGATCTCGTTTTCTCCCCGTCTCGTTCCGGTTCGTTCCTCGGTCCAGACGGTTCGTCGTTCCGTAGATCCGTAGATCCGTCTTCTGGGCAACCGTGTCGATACATTTCGAGGACCAGCGCTTTCGGTAGAGAAACCGCCGCTAAACTCCCCGGATAACCGAGGCGAAACGAATTATTTTTTGCGCGTGCGTCGGAAGCGGAGATCGGTCGAAGAAGACAGAGACAGCACCGGTCGTCGTTTCATTGGCTTGGAAAGGTTCGCGATGCAGGAAGTGCGAGGTATTGGTAGACGGGAGACGATGCGATTGGTTGGCGGCGTGTCGAGGAATGCGCGCGAATCGAGCCGCGCATGCGCGTATTTCTATGTTGACGAAGAACAGATTATATATTTACGACGAGTTAAAGTTAGCATCGGTGTACAAAAGCGTTATAGCGAACAGAGGCTGGGCCTCGTACGGAAACCGTCTGTCGAACGATGGAGCTTCGGGCGAGGGACACCCGAACGCGCTCGATGCGCGGCATAAAAGAAAGTATGGGTTAGAAGAATCGACGCCACCCCCGGCGTCGCGATCGCCCACGGCGCCTCTTAAACTGATCGAATTTCTCTCTATTCGTGTCAATCTCTTTTAACGATGTAACGGTCGATATTCCGGAAATAAAGTTTCATCGTTTTTGAAAGTCAGTCGGCGTTGTTGCGCCTCTTCCGACCTAGTCCTCCGCGATCCTCGGTATATTCCAAGACGTCCCGTCTTCCTGCATCGAATTCCCCAAGAAACTATCCCGACATTCACCTAGCTGACGAAGGATCGGTCCACTGGAGCCGCCATAAACGTCAAAGGTACAAAATTAATCGTTTTAACGGAGTGTTTCGATCTGAACGATTTTTAGGTTAGGGTCACTCCACCCCCGAATCGATCAGTTTTTTCCCGCGTGTTTGGGGATTTGGTTCGTATTAAAATACCGATGTATCCATATAGAATTAAGTGGGTGAACCATTTATGTTCGAATCTACGTTTTTTCGCGTGTTTTAGATTCCTTGTTCGATTGATATGACAATCGTTGCTAAGAACATGTTCGAGAGTAAAAATTGTGAAAACCATCGTTTCTATAGGGGACGTTGGTCCATCCGTATTTTATGCAACCCAACGTACGTCTCGGGACGCCGTCGGTAACGTTGAGATCATAAGTAGAAATCTGTGATTTGAACAAAAATTTTCATATCATTTCCCTGTGTGTAATGTTTCAGGTGTAACCGTGTTAGCATAAACTAGTGGACAAAGAACTGGACGATGGCTTATTTCCAGCTTTGTCGAGTCGTGGATTATTTGAAATATTCTTCAGGGGCAAACTTCCTTCCAGATAACCATCAAACATTATCTCATCCGTTAACTAATCAGATGACGAGTCGCTTCCCTATTAACCGATTTCTATCTCGAACGTCATACGAAAGATATTCAATGCCATCATAGCCAGTAAACTAACCAGAATCATTATTATCAATGAGCATCATAGTTCCGTGTTCGGCCGCTCAACGAGAACATCCGGGGAAAAAATTTGGGCGCCCATAACGGTGGCGCATAGCCGCACCTAGCGCAGAGGACGCGGCATTCGAGTGTACTATTTATCTTTTTCGAGTATAACCAAGCTAAGAAAGCATGTAGCTGTTTATACCTAACGCCTTTGACTGTTCGAGTGATTCTTGGTCGCAAATGCTTTGCTCGAACGTTTGAATTAAAATTGCTGGGCGAGGCAAGGAGAACGAGACGTTGAAAATTAGCTGCGAAACTCGAACGACGGCTATCGGGAGCGAAAGAAAGTACCGGTGAAAAGAACGGAGCGGGGCGCGACGGGAGAGAAGAGAGAGAAGTGGCGTAAAGAAAACGGGTAGAAGGAAAAAGATCGCGTTCGCGGACAGGCCAGAGGCATTTCCATTTAAGGCACCCCGCGTGCAATCTCTCGCTCCTCACGGCGCCACTTTGACACGCATATTCCCGAAGCGTTTGCACCACCTTCGTAACACGGTTTTCTCACCGGAGACCATCGACGTTTATTTATTTATCAGGGATAGAAATCGATCGATGAATATTTAGATTTGGAAAATTCAAGGTAGAATCTGCGAACGTTTAAAACCGGATCCGGATAAAAATCGTTTCGTAAAGTTTACCACTTCGCGAAACAGTGTTTACGGTATTATAATTTAGAGAAATGCGACGTGGGTGTGGTGTCGACTCGAAAAGTCGACGCTCGAGTATTCGTGGTGTGAAACCTGCCCGGAAAGTTATTGGCGTTACGGTTTGATCCATATTATATTAACGTCTGGACCCGACTCGCCATTTCTCGTTCGCGTCGTGTTTCGTCAACCCACTCTAAACTTATATTTTCTCGATCCCCTGGCGGGATTCCTTGTTCGATTACCGCGACGTGGTTTACGGTCCTTGTCTCTCTCCTCGATTATTCTCACTTGTTCGGCGTACTCGAAATTCCTGCCTCCGCCGTTCTCGTAAATTCGATCTCGTTACTTACTCCTCCGTGCCAACGTTCTGGCACATGCCAGATAATGCTACGACCACCGGATCCTGTCTGTGTCCGTCTCTACCTGTTCCTCGAACTACTAAATTTCAAACCTCCTTTTCCTACGTGTCTGTCGCTATTATAAATCTCTCCACGGATTATTTGATACCTTTTTAAAGCGATACTGTTCATTTTTAGGAACAAAAAAATTAATTGAGTAGTTTCAGTGAGATATAGATATCATCTGTTTCTATTGTGGACTATATCGCTTCCCGTACTCGCCACCAGAGGGACCGTTCCTCTCGCAAGCGTTCGACCTTCCATTAGCACATACACCCTCCTCGACCGACTCCCTCATCGATCACATTTTTTTAGGAACATACGTAGATTTTTGAAGAACATTTAACGTGTGTTCTAGATGCAAGGAAAAAAGCCTTGTTTTCTCAATTTGTCAGTTAGTTTTTCACAACAGAAGAGAGACAGCGTCTGTTTAGAAACTTTTCTTTATTGCGAAAAAAATACACATAGGTTAAATGAGAATAAGATAGAAATATCGGTCATTTTCACTTCCAAGCGTTCCGGTTGGTCGTTTACGGTTCTTCATTGATCGGGACAGGCTTAGCATTAACATCGTTGAGGTCCAAGGTGAAGCCAAAGACTATGGTGTTGGTGGTGGCGGTGATGGGTGGCTCGTAAATCTTGACGACGTGTCGAAGAGTATCGTTTACGATACTTTCTTTGGTCTCGCGAACGACCGTCCTGCCGCCGGACGTGACGCCGGATTGAATGACCTTCATGCCACTTTGGGTCGTCGTGATAATACTGTTGCCACTGCTCGATTGCGACACCGAGCCATTGCCTGCAGAAACAATTACGATCGTTGGTCGATACAGATCGGTTCTCGCGAGTAAGAAAAAACGATCTCGTTGCCTTGAGAGAGAACGGATCTCTCGTTTTCGATAGTGAAAGGCCTGAAAGGCTGAAACGCGCCGCGATTTTGAGACGGCGTCGAAAAGCCGGCAAGAACGGAAAAATCGAACGCTCGTTAAGAACGTGGCTGTGTCGTGTATCGCTTACTTGTGCTCTCGTTCAGGTTTCTGGTCAGTCCATGTGCATGCGCCAGATTCTGCTGCACCGTCGCCTGTACTTGTCGCTGGATTTGTTGGTTCAACATCTGGATGTTGTTATTGAGGCTGGTCTGCCAATCCATACCCTCCTGCTGTCCAACGCACACGCTGTCGAACGAAGGTTATTTACGCGTAGAAAACTGGCCACGGAATGTCGACACGTGATCGTCGAAAATACGTTATACCGCGTCGCGACGAAAGCGACACTGGTGTAACGATCGACTAACCTGCTCAATATTGCTATAAGGAGCAACGCCCGGTACATCTGTCCCGTCATCCTTCCTGCAAGTTCTGAGAACGTCCACGCGCCCCGATACAACGGGAAAAGAAAATTGTAAATTCTGTTTTATCATACGGAAATAAGAGGCTAGAGTGTCTCCCCTTACGCTGAGTTCTCACGTTTTTCGACCTTCTCTCTTCTCCGGGTTCCTAGTCCTCCTCTTTCGTTCGCTTTGATGCTGCGTGAAATATCCCTAGATTTGAAACGAACTGAGACGTGTTCTCCCCCTCGGATCTATCTATCGACGGACGACCGAGTTCGACTAGTTCGAGGTGTTCGAGCCGCTTGGAATTGTATGCCGATTGTCGCGAGGTGGTATTTCAGCTGTTTCTCTTTTACAAGAGCAAGAAGGAAAGGCTCACGCTACCGTTCTTTATCGATTTCACGAAGTTGCGTGAAGGCTGAGCTCACGTCACGTGGCTCGTCAGGTAGTATATGACTGCTATCACCACCATTTAGACGCTAAGTTCATCGTCATTTGTTCGAAATGACATATACATTGTTTATAAACATTTTATGTAAATCTTAAGAAGGATTAAGATCAAATAAACTTTATCTCTATGTTGTCTATCTGCTGTTACAGTAGTGACAGTGTTTTGTTTGTACTCCTCGCGGGTCGCTGGGCGGTAGAAATGACCAGGATGGAGAAAGAGGGGGCGTAGACATACGTACAGCAGTCGTCTCGCTTGAAGTCCCGCGGAAGGAATGCGGGAGAAGTAGAAGGGTTACACGTATACATTGATCTCTTGCTCTCTATTCGTCGCGAGAGTTACACACACATGTGGACTGCCTGAGAGCAAGGGAGCAAGATAGATAGATGGTCTGACTCCTCTTGGCCCTGTGGCGTCCCGCGACACTTCAAGCGAGGCGATTACTATACATATGTAGCCTACTCTCTGTAGACTTTTAACCCTTTGCAAACCTATGTCGAGTCCCACTCGACATTTTTTCAAGTCCAAACCAAGGAGATATCATACACTTGAAAATTAAAAAATACAACAATAAATAAAACAGATATTTAATTGAATTTGTTTGTTCCTCTATTTTTGTTTAAATTTGCCCTACTTTTTAGCTAACGCAAATTTCAAATAAACCACTTAAAAGCGTAGGAAGCAAATATAATTCGGAGTGCAAAGGATTAAAGGGCGATTGTTTAAATATGTTAAATCTGTTTAAAAATCGCGCTGGCGCCGAGTTCGGTCTTAAAACGTGTTATTTCCGCCAAAAAAAATTTTCGAAGTTTGTCTTCATTATGATAGATTACTTATACTTTACATAAGTCGGAAAATAAAAATGCTGCGGTCAGTCGAGACTTGGAATCGTATACCGATTATCGCGAGGTCGTGTTTCAACTGTTTCTCTTTCACAAGAGCGAGAAGGAAAGGCTCACACTAGCGTTCTTTGTCAGTTTCCCGAAGTTGCGCGAAATGGCGAGCTCACGTGCACCGTGGCTCGTACCATAGTGTATGCTCGCTATCCCCACCACTCCGTTACTCAATTGTACCCGATCTGGCCACGCTGTTCGAGCGTTTACTTTTCCTTGGCTTTGTGTTCTGTTTGCGCACGACCGGGCGTGTGTGTGTTCGTGCTCGACGGTGTTTGAAATTACACAATTCGTTACATCTATTCTCTTGTTGACGTACCCGTCGCTCGACTGTTTAACAGGTTAAACGCCTAGCTAATTTTCATTCGCTTTCCCTTTTCGCGGCGTGTAAATACAGAGAATGCGTGTATGCAGTAAACAACGAACACCGAGGGGGAGACGATTTCGTTAACTTCGTTAGACGATTGTTTAGTATTTTTTGAATTCAATACAAGCGATCCTTCGAGCGTTCCGAAAGCCAACATGGCGTTTAACGATATTCTTCGAATTACGGAATTAAATAAATTCACGATCTTGTTGTTTATCTAATTATACGTTCGTAGGATGTTTATCCGGTTTACTCGAGAGCCCGTGGTATCTCATTTTATGCAGATCGAAGAATACTTACCGCATTCTCGCGGTTTCCATTCAGCGACGATAATTCGAATCCTACGGATAAGTGCCATTGACGAGGAGCGTGGTTCTTGGAATTTATTAACCGCGTTCGACCTTGCGGCGGTCGCGTACTCCACGTAACAATGACAGGTGCAATTACCTGGCCCCAGGTATCGCATGATGGGTTCGAGTGGCCAAGTTAAAACCTAAAAAAATTGCTCCTTCTCCCCGTCGATTCGAACGCGAACGTAATCGATGACGTCGACAGAATCCCGTGTCGCGTCTCAAAGGAACACTCATCGTGAGCCCGATAACACTAGAGGTCGCAGGGTTATCACATTTCGCTCGACTTGCGATATCAATTTATTTATTATCGAACGGTTTAGATACTCTTTATTAAAGCAACAGAAATCAGATTACCGTAGATAGGAGTAAAAAGAAACGTAGATAATGAAAATTTAGTCGCGCGAGCTATGTTATTATTTAAGTATCGTCAATTTTTATTACTGTTATTTATTGTTCTCCGTATCGACTGTGTCGTTTTTGCAAATTGCAATGGAAACTTTTGCAACGTTTTACCGCGAAGGAAAAGTATCGGTAGATCAAAATAGATTAACACGTGAGTCACGTACGTGTGGCAACAATGTTTATTTAATGTTCGTAGCGAGTATAATTTATAGACCTGTTGTATTCTACGGGACACATTATTTAGAACATTCAGTTGGTTCGTTAAACGCATTTAATTTGTACGCGGTTAAAAATATGCGCAGTATTAATTAAAATTATCGTGAATGTTGTAATACTAATCGAAAGACGATAACGTTAAGAATAATCGATATACGTATGACATCATTTGTAGGAATTGTTGCTCCTCTTGAAGATTGTTAGCGATAAAAATTGTAACCATAAGCGATTTTTAATAATAAATTCTCTGTCTCGAGATGCTTAGAGCAGGGTGAAGGTGTTGTCGATGTTTACATAAAGGGACTGTCGTCGTTAGCGAAAAGAAACTCCAGAAAATTAGCACACGAATTACGTAATTACGGCGCGAAGAAACCGGGCCAGTTGCCTGCGTGGTATCCGTTTTCCGAAAGATCCTTTTAAATTCCCCCCTTAAAATCCGTCGAGAGGCTCGGAATAAAGGGGGGAAGGATTCGTCGAGGAGGACAGAAACTGGTTTCGTATTCGTATTCGGATTCGGATTATGCGCTCGAAATTGTACTCGCGTCCTATACGCGTATAACAGCTCTGGGCTACGCGTCGACCCCCCACGCGATCTGTCCTACGGTAAACGTGCATCTTCCATCTTCCATCTTCCATCTTCTCGTCCTTGAACCCTCTTTCTCCTCTTCTCCTTGCGTCCCCCTCCTCCGCGCCACGTCGAGTCGCCACGCTCGAAAAAACCACGCTTGATTTTCTCCGCTCCCCCCCCCCACCAGTGTCCGTCGTATATTCACGAACGATACTCGAACGCTTCCCGATCCTCCACCTATATATTTACACCTCCAACTTTGCGAGCAGGTAGCAAGGGGCCCCGGATCGTAAACGCGTAATCGTTTCGCTCCTCCTCTTCGTCCCCCGTCCTCCTCCCCACCGCCAGAGAACGCGAAAAGGACGAAGAAAAAACTCGATCGTGTCGATTTTTCGGACAGGGTGACCGACCTTGGACAGTTCGACCCTCCTGCAGGGGCTCCTCGTCCTTCGTCAAGGACGACCCTCGATAGGGTCGTGCACGTACCATTTATTTATTCCGCTTCGTTGTACGTTCTCTGCGCCTTGAATCCTCATATCTCTAGATAACTGTATTTAAGGTTAGGTCTGTCTTACTAGGTGTCTTATTTCAATGCATCAGGAAAGGTATTTTCCTTAGCTTCATTCAATCGTGACTGTAAATCGCTGATAGATAGTACGATCGATAAGGTAGAAAGCGATATAAATACACATACGTATGACATCTGTTGTATAATTATCTATTTACCGATTACGTGAATATAGACTACTCGAAAGATCCCTGGAAGGCTGTCGGAACGGTAACCACTCATATACCGCAGCTCGATTGCATCATAACCTCTATCGATCAAGAAGCTAACGATAAGCTTTCGGTTCCAACCTTCCCAACGAGATGCAATTCTTCGAAAAGCTTATTTATCGCGCGAAGAACGATAAGGCGTCGAGAGAGAGTTCGAATAGACCGCGTCGGGCGTTCTCTGGCCATCTATGGACGATCGAGGAAAGCAATGGCGTCCTTCCATTGGCAGCGCGTGTACGTGCACTCCGTCCTCGAGGGAAGTCGAGTTCGTTGAGTGGGGCGGGACGACAAATCGGTGGTTCAGTGGTCTCGCGGTAGTCGAGCTGGTCGGGGTTTGACTGTTCGTTTGGTCCGGGCCTTGTCCAGTACACAAACAGATTGCACCGTTGTTTTCATCTCGAGGATCCCTCGCGGTCGCGTCGGTTAATCCGTCCCGAAAAACGTATCGATCCGCGAATCGAGCGGACACTTTCTCCAGCGTTCGCTGGACCCGTCAAATGGAAGTTGGACGCTGTTTGTGAAACCGCGGATTCTCGTGGACCCCGACGACCATGCACGGAAAGAGGGAGAAAAAAAGCATCGAGTCGAAGAATATGTGATCGCTCGTCTCGGAATCTGTAAGTACCAATCGATGGAACGTTTTACCGACTCGGTCCGTGCGTCGATCGAATAAATACGTTGGATCGAAATCGAGCCACGGGTTCTCTGAAATCTCGACGCGCGAGTGAAAAGATCGGTGCTCGTTATCTCCGGCGCGGGATAACCGTAACCACTCGTAGCGTAAGATACGTAAGCCGAATCCAGCGTAAACAAAAGATAGCGGAGTCGAAATACCCCGAGCACACGACGAAAAATATTCGTTCGAGCGTTAGGACGTGCCCCATCGGGGGAGGCATGAATTATTTATCGAATGCTGTTCCATCGTCCCAGTGGAAGAGGACGAACGAGCCGCGCGTGTCTTGCCTGTACGATACGACCAGAGAGCCTGCGGAGATTCGTTCTCGGTTAAAAGAATGGGTGTGCGGGTACACCCGATCCCGATACCAGTTATCGACTACCCGCACGCTTACACGGCATTAGAACCTTTATCGCCCGCGACGATTGCTTCGTTTAACTTTTCGTACCGTGAGTATTTCCTATCCGTCCCGAGAGAAGTCGTAAAACTTCCATCGGAAGCAGACTCGAGGGAATCCCGTGGCAGAAAATAGACACGAACCAGCCACGGGTCTTTCGACCGGATGGATTACCGTAATTCCGACCCGGCGAATTCTCGTGTCTCCGGATCCGTAACAGAATAGCTTCGTACCTAAGCAGAAACGTTCGTCGCCGCAGACCATTGAAATAAAACGAAAGAAATTTTTGTGAGTCGCGAGAGAGGAGGGCCAATTTTACGAGCCGATTTGGTCGTTGTTCCGTCACGCGTGCTTCTCGAAAACGGTCGTAAATCGTTTCTTCCAGTCACGTACGTGTCGCGTTCTCGCGTCGAACGATGTGTTTTGAACTGGGTTCGGTAACAACGGCTCGTTGTCGGTGTGTAATTCGAGCGTCGAACGCGCCACGGCTCGTGAAAGAACGCTTTTCTCCGCGTTCGACCGTTTCATTTCCACGACGAAAGATCTCCGATGGCAGGGAGCTGGGTTTTTTCGGTGCAAAGAAACGTTTACGAGGTCCGCGTAACGATGTATCCGTGTATATAAGTCGGCGCGGTCGGTACGACTATTTTTCTGCGACGACTGTAAAGGGTTGTTCGACAACCTGTCGCGCGGCGCGCGATCGAGCTGGATAGCAGCACAATACGTGGTCGTACGTGCCACAGGTTTTCACGTACGACAGGTTGGAACTCTATTCGGTGACCGATGAAACAGATCCTCCGTTTGCTTTTAAAATTTTCTGTTGGACTGTTGCATAGAACGTAATTTAAAACTAGCACTCATTTCCATAACCTCGTCCAAGTTCTCGACCATAACCTAAAAATATTTTTGAAAACCCTAAATATTTTCATAACCTCTACAAAGTTCGTTCGTCGTAAGAATTAATTTCTCCAGCTCCTGATCGTATGGTAAATAAAAAAAATCAGAGATACGGTAACGTAAAAAATTTCTCTTGAACGAGGCAATAAGAGAAGAAAAGAAATAGGTCCGCGGCGAAGCGTACTACTTTTCGATAAGGCTTGTCGACCGCGACGTGTGTTCACGTCCGTGGGAAAAATGAGGTCCTCGAAGCGTACGAGTCTATCGTCGCGCGATATGTAAATCGTGGCGTTCGCGGAGCGCGTAGTCGCGAGGCGAAGCGTGCGTCCACGTATTCGTATTCGTGCCAGGCTCTCGTCTTTCCTTTTGGACCGTCAAACGATCGGAGCCAACCTCTTCGAGTGCCGCGCGCGAACCAACGATCCGTATAAGGAGCTGGCCTGCTGCTGCCACTCGCTCTTGCCCGCTCTTGTCCAGCTCCCCCGGGGCACCGTAAACCGCCGCGCGCGGAGTCGCGATTTCGCTCGCCCGATGGGACGACGACGACGATGGCGACCTCGATCCTCTCCGTCTCTCCGCATCACGGTTCCGACGACAGCTATATCGCCAGGCACCAACGGAATTCGCGTCGAGGTGTACGCGTCGCGGCGAGATCGGGGCACACCGACGCCGGTGCATACACGCGCCGCCGTGCAAAAGCCGCACTTTCTCGCCCGCGGCAAGGCAGCCTCGACGTTACCTTGCGTCCCCGAGCCCCGTCGATAGTCGACCAGAACGGACCTACGTGCTTCTAACTCCGGTTCTAACGACACGGTTATCTCAACGATGGTACGCGTAGCTAGAGATGAGCATCGCCACAGCCCCGATAACAGCAATCCTCGACGCGATAACGAGCAAACACCGAAACGATTCTATCTCAACGGATCCCCGCGACTTATCAACCATTATCGCCGCTACCTTGCCTTTATCGTACAGAATTTTCTACTAATAATCGTGGAATACCTCTCGACAACTTCTAATTCGAAACGATAACAGGAGGATTTTCTGCTTAATTTGTAGTCGTTCCTAGAGAGGTGTGTCAGTGAAAATTACATAACCTAAAATTTGTTTCCTTATTCTCGGTAACCCTTGCTTAAATTCATAAATCTCATCCCTGTCTGTTTTATAGTACAAATTTTTATCACCTATATATGGGTGGCGTGACAGTTAAATTGTCGAGACGATCATGACAAGTCCTGCCTCGGACGCATAGACATTCCAAAGATCGCTCGAGGAGTGTACATATGCAAATAGGTCGGTAAAATACTTGTGAGAGAGCATACCCCTCTGATGGCGAGTGCGTCAAGTGTCGCCACAGAAGTTACGTTATGAAAAAAATGTTACGAAAGGAGCAAAGATTTCTAACCTCAAAGGAGAATGCTTTTCGAACGGATTAAAACCCAGGTTCGGTCCTATTATCGCGGGGCGACAGCTACCGTTCGTCGTGCGCGATAACGTTCGCGACCCTTCGAAGAATCCGTCGTTATCGAGGTTTCTTGTCTGCGAAATAACTCTCCGCGCGGCTAGTTTCGCTCGAGCGGTCGTCTCACCTTCGCGACGAGCGTCATAGGTGCCCCGTAATCTCGAGAACGTCCGCGAACGATCGCGCGGAGACAGGGCGACGCCGCTTCTCTTATCGTCGCGACGGATCTTCGGTACGCCTTCCACCAATCCGCTCGCGGTGGAATCTCCCGGTTTCGCTTTCGGCCGCGCTCGGGTTACCACCGAACGCGCCGCGACTTTATCGTGTTCCGCCGCGCGCGGACACTCTCGACCGTTTGCCCGTGATTCGCTCCGCGCGTCCAAAGACCGATGATTTATTGGTCGCGATTAATCGACCAACTGGTCGCCACGCTTCGGGACGAGTCATCGCGCGAAATAAAAAAGCGGGAAACGCATCCACGCGCTTTCTACGACGGGTTTCACGGTTTAGGCCAACTCCAACGTATTCGAAGCTCTTTAAAGCCAGATTTACAGGACGTTGGGCATATTTCGATTTAACCTTGATTTTTGATACGGTTCAACATAAATTGCTAGCAATTGTTTTTTCAATATTTTCGATCGATAATAACAGGGTGTACGGTTCGTTACACGCGTTTAACCCTTTGAGTGCTGAGTACTCGCGGTCCGTACAGAGGTCGCGCAGCTAGCCCTGATGATTGCTGTGGACGGACAAATAGTAATAGGTTATAGTAACGCTTTTGTACGAGATTGAATGATTAAAGAGCGTTATTTTGTAGTATTAATTATTTATTACAAACATTAAAATTTACAATAAATTAGAAAACTAAATATAACAGAAATTATTCATCTCACGCAAAAGTAATTGTATTACTTCTATGCAGGTGATTGAAAAAATTGACAAACGCATATATGCGTCTTAGTCCACACTGCTAGCTTTCTCCAGACGCATATATGCGTCCATAGCGCTCAAAGGGTTAATCGTAGCTATTAATTCATTCGTTGGAACGGATGGGTTAATATTTTCAGCCCGAGGCTCGGACGCCTCAATAACCAGATCCATTGGGCCGTTCGCGAATAGAGAAGTTGCATCAAGAGAGTAATTTATGAATGTCCGGTACGCACGTAGCGGACAAAAATTCTTTTCATCCGCGAACCGTATTTACAAGTCGAAGAGGAGCACCGTTGCGTAAAATCTTGCGTACGAATTACGTTCGATTCTTTCATTTTCGAGGCTATTTGCACATCAGCAAAACTAGAACTTCGATTTTAGACCGTTGAAAGTTACATAACCTAAAATTTGTTTCCTTATTCTTGGTAACCCTTGCTTAAAGTCATAAATCTTGTCCTGCCTGTTTTGTAGTACAAATTGTCGTCACCCATATAGGGGTGGCGCGACAGTCGAATTGTCGAGACGATCGTGACAGGTCCTGCCTTGGAAGCAATATGGACCGTCGCGAGCCTGCATCGAGCAGAGGTTTTGGTATTCCGCGTACGTCGGTGGTACGTGGCCGTGCACGCGGTTCCGTGGGAGATTACAGCCCCCATGTCCCCTCGCGTAGCAGTTCGCCGTAAACCTTTGGACGGAGGTCGAGTCGCGAGATGCCCCCGTTATCGGCGACAAGCGCAACGAACGAGCGATCGACGAACCACCTGTTTCGCTTTGATCTCGAGCTTTCCACTGTCTATCGGGTCCGTGTACGCCGCGCGTGCACAGCGCGAGGATCGACGATTTTCCCAAAGGCGGTCGACCGGCCCGTGAAAAAAATTCAAGCGCGTCTTCGCCGAGCGTCGTGTCGTTCGGCGGCGCTCTCCGTCCCGAGAACCGCGAACGCGGTTGCGTTACCATGTTTGGCGACCCGCTCCCATAAAATTTCTCGTCGAGCCGCTCGCGAGCGCAGCCTACCACACGCGACTACACTTTATTCGACGAACTCGCGCCGGCCTACTCGCTCACCGGCCCGAGATAAATCTCGGCGAAGTTAACGCAAACGAACCGCGCTCGCGAGTGCACCAGCCACACGATGCTTCTATCCGTGGAACTAGAAAACGAGAGACAAGGAGAGACGCGAGCCACACCCTGCCGAGGAGAGTCGCTTGGAAAATCGGCAAAGTCGTCGAGGAGAGACGGTGGGACCCCTCCGGTA